CTGTCTCTTTTTATTGTTTTCCTGCTCTGCTAAAGATGAAAGATCTTCTCACTGGACAAGAGACTTGCTAATGTTGGAGCATAGAGAACAATACCCCTAAGTATGGTGCTTTGGCAAGATTTTTTAAACTTGGAGGGTCTAAGAAGCTGCCTCAGAAGCCAAAACTTTCTAACCTTATCTGTTTGTTCCCCTCCCACCCTGCATCCCCTACAAGCACAGGAAGGGATTCTCTCTAGACTTTTCTTATCTGAGTAAGGAAACTTCTTTCTGAAAGAAATGTAGTTAAGACCCACCTCCCTAGGAATCTCATCAAATAACCAGGAAAGATTAACCACCAGAGAAGAGAAGAAGCTAAAAGTCATCACCATGTCCAGGAGAACCTTTATCTCCTCTTCTGAGGGCTGCTCAGAGAGATTACCTGGGAGGCCTTATCTGTGCAGTAAGACAACCTTTGTTCACAGTGCAGTTTTGCCCCTCACCTTCCTGTAAGTTGAAGCTTTGTAAGACAATCGGTTACAAGATAATCTCTGCCTCCCCAGTCTATTCATTTTCCCTAAAAATTATTTACTATCCTCCTAAGATGACCTATAGTCCTTCATTTCCCTCTCCCCTATGAAGAGGGTATTTAAGCTGCAGCCATCTGGCCCTCTTTGAGTCTCATATTTGCAGGCCTCCAGTGTCCATGTGCAAGTAGTTAAGTTTGTATGCCTTTTTCTCCTATGTGTCTGTCTATTGTCAGTCATTTCAATGAACCTTCAGAGAAGGTGGAAGAGAATCTTTTTCTCTGCCCTACAATAAAAAATAAAACAATGAGAGAGATGGAAGAAGGGAGAAGGCAGAAAGAAAAATCATGGAAACTTAGAATGGAGCAGGGATTTTTTTGGTCAGATGGGTTGTGGAAGGTAGTGTCTGAGTGAAATGAGAAGTGAGGAAAAGATAACGGAGGAAAGGTCGCTTTACTAGGCATTGCTGTGGGCTGTTTAGATTATTTTAACAGCTTTTGATGGCTCCAAATAAGGAATTTGGTTCCTCTTTAATTAATTTTGGCTGTGGAGCTAGGCTTGACTTTATGCAGAGATAGAGCCACATGCTCACTCAGATAGATTAGGGTTACAGAGCATTTTATCACTGTGTAATTATATGTTTGTGTGATTGTTTGAGTCGTGTCTCTTCCTTAGGCAGTAAAGAATGAAGGAAATAGGTCTATTTAAGACGTAAATCACATTCCCAGCCCTTACCAGAGCACTTGACACAAACATCTTCAGTAAGGAGATATTGTGTAAATTAATGTTTCAGAGAAGGCCATGGATAATGCTTGTTTCTCATTCATTTCTCCTTGCTTTCCTGACAGAATCCCATCCATATCTATGTTACTGAATGAATCGCCCTCAATGGGTCTCCTTCCTTTGTGTTGACATTTCATCAGTATTTTTGTGGAGTACTAAATTTTCCTTATAATTCCCAGTGCAGGATATTTCCTACAGAAGGCCACCAGGCCTGTGGTTAATGCCAGGGCCCAGAACGTTTGTTCTTAATATAGAATGTGAAAATTCTGCAATCAGTGGGAAAAATGTATGCTAAGTAGATAAAAATCAGTCCCACTGTAGCATAACTCTCCAGAGAGAAGAGATAAAACTGCTTGATGCCTAAGTTAAAAAAAAAAAAAAAAAAAAAAAAGTAACAAAGTGTTTCCAGCTCCAGAGACTGAATTTCATTCCTAATGTAAATACAGAAGCCTCTGGAGAAGAGGATTATATTTGGAAGAGGGAAGGGAAGCAAATGGAATTCACGGAAGGGAATTCTCTATCGAGCTCCAAAGCAGGGAACAGTCCAAACACAGAAATCAACCATTTCTTTACCAGCAGTCACAAAACTGAGCTTTATCTTGACTTCTTCCTGTCCCTCATTCCTGACATTTCATCAACCACTAAATCCTGATGGTTTTATTGCCTAAATATTTTTTAATCCTTTTTTCATTTTTTTCCTTCTCCTAGTCCAAGCTGTTCATCCCTTGCTTGGACCACTGCAATGGTCTCCTAATGTCCTCTATTTTCCCTCTGTCTCCCTCCAATTTATTCTTTTTGTAGCAACAAAGATGATACTTCTAAAATATAAAATGAGATCCCTTGTTTACAACATGGAAGACTCTCCACTCTTCATCATTACAGTAAACATATATTATAATCTGGATAATGAGAAAGTATAAATGAAGAAGAAAAGATAGCAGACATAGACAACTCTTTTGAGATTTGCTATTAATAGGAGCAGGAGGACTGTGGATAGATGACAAGCAAAGTGAGGTCAAATCTTTTTTTTTCCCCAATGGGGTCATATTTGTAAGCTGATCTGAATGTAATGTTGAAGAAAGAGAATGTGATGGTGCCGGAGAGAGAGGAGATAATCTCAGGAGAAAAATTCTTGATGAAATGAGTGATTTGGGGGCATGCTAGGGCAAGTGTGGCTTTGAGCATGATGTGTTGGAAAGAGTCCACTTCACTGAAAATGTACTTAAAAATGGATTCATTCGTAAGGGTCTTTCTGCAAGGCAAATAGAGATTTTTGTTGTTGTTGTTTGTTTGTTTTTTTAAGAGCTGACCTATACTTGTACATTGAATATGGCTGCTGAAGAAAGGGGATTTTTTTTCACAAGCACATGATTCCAGTTTTCCATATTCCTATTGCTGTTTATGGTAGTAAATTTTTTTCTCATAGAGTCAGCTGCCAAGGCATTGATCAGGGCCTTCCATTACCTACTTTCTCTTATGTTTGGAGAACTCTTATTCAACTTATTGAAAACCACTGGGGCATCCTCTTCTTTGCAGCCTTCCTTGATCTTCATGGACGCTCAAATCAGGCGGAGTGGACGTCACCATTAGTAACTTACCTTTTGGTCAGAAGTCTCAAACTGATACTCTAGAGGAGTCTGGGCTTTGTTTGCCCAAGAGTGTTTTTAAAACGCTGTTTTTAGATATGTTGCCAATGTTTTAAAAATGAAAGTTGCATATCAAATTTTTTAAAAATCCAGTAATGTATCTGGCATTCTTGAGAAATGCAGAATGGGCACCACCAGGTCCACATTCTCATGTGGGAGCAATCGCCCGGAGCAAGTGGGATTCCCCCTTTGGACAGAGCATGCACTTGCCAGTGGCCCCAGCCCTCCCACTGCCAGTCTGGTTGTTTTTACCCCTAGCTGACTCCTTCATTTTTTAACCAGCATAGCCCCTATGAACAAATACGGGGCTGTGAGTTTATGAGCCTCGCCATAGGTCCTACAGGCAGGAACTGTGGACCATTTGCTTAGTGTGCCCTGACAGCTAGTACAATATCAAGCACATGGTAGGTGTTTAGGGCATGTGCTGAATTGAACTCCCATCCCCACACTCTCAGTGTGCACATCTGCATGCTCCACTCACACAGTCTTTCTCTTCCTGAATGTACCTGATGTGCCCCAAAGTTCAGTGTTCTTACACCTCCCTCCTTTCCTCTGCCTCGGGGGCCAGGCCTACCTGGTTAGCTCCTGCTGAGCTTTTATACCTCAGTTCAAATGTCACTTTCTCTGGGAGCCTTCCCCAACACTTCAGGTTAAATCAGATCCTGCTGCAATGTACTTTCAGAGCATTCTAGACATTCTCTTCATTACCATTATTAGTTTGTTATAGGTACTGAGTGGTTGCTTAACATTCATTTGACCCACTCAAGTATAAGCTCCAAGTGGATATAATGTCCCATGGCCCACTGATGTATCCACCATGTCTCACCTAGTGCCAGAAGCATAGGAAACATGCAAAGTTTACAGGCATAAAATGAATAAATGAACGATTGAGTGAATGAACACTTCCAAGGCATAGCCCTTAAGGACTGTAGAAGCCAGCATGTCAGAGATGCAGCCGTCAGCTGTGCTCTGTGGAGCCCTGTGGCACACCTGTCTCAGCCTGGCCAACCATTCTAGCATAATTTGAATATAAGTGTGTCTTTTCTGAGATGGTGAGCATCCCGAGGAGGGGGCCTCTTGTTCAATCTTTATCTTCTGCATCCAATACAGCAAACTAGATCAAACAGAATTCAAAAGAAACATCTATTGACTGGCCAAACTTTTCAGCAAGAATTCTGTTTTTTTAAAAAGGATGGCAGCTTCTCTACTTATTATCTTACACATCACACTCTTCCATTACTCAAATCGGGTTATATTCCAAAGCCGAAGCAGTGCCCAACACACATGACTGTGTTGCTGCCATCCTATCAGCTCTGGCCATCAAGTTTCTGTTGGTTTAATGGCCTATTTGCTGAGTTTTTGAGGCATTTTACAAGTATCATTAACCTCATCATGTTCAATAATTGTAAAAGCGGGAAAATCATTGTGTACCTAGAAAGACTTACCATCGTGATAGAAGTTAGACAGAAATGATTTTACATGAGTTTGTACCTATCGGGTGTTTTTGGAATGTTTCACTCCAGATAGATGTGCTTCTGTCCAACAGGAAAACTATCTTATTCATGTGGGGTTAAAAAATATTGATCACAGAAGGCTAAGTTCACACATGCCTCCTCATGAATGAGCCAGGGCACATAATTAGTTGACCAGAAGGCTCGCAGGGATTAATTAGCAGCTGTGTGTGAAGAGCTTGGTTCAGACTTGTAGCACGAAGGATGGGGGTTCTAGAATGGCCACTTCCTGGATTCACAATTCAGTCACGCAGGAGGGAATCTCAGTGCTTGGCTGCTGAAGTTGCTGGGGGCTCTTGGCTCCTCTGTGGACCACTGTGGGCATGTGCACGTCCAGCTAGCGCCAGCAGAGGGCAGCAGTACGCTGCATGTGTTCAATTTGCATCCCAGATTAGCAAATCCCCAAGGACCTACAAAGAAAGAGGGTGTCCCAGGACTACCCTAATTCCTTTTCACTGGGTGTCAACACTGATCTGAGTCATTGCAAACACAGACCTTTTATGTTTTGTTGGACTTTGGCTCATCTGAAATAGAGAAATGAATACACAACTAGGAGCTGCCATCACAGACAGGAAGTAACTTTAATTAAATATTGTGAAAGTTGAAAAGTTTTTACAGCTTGAATTTTTGCAAAAAAAAAAAAAAATTATAACAATCTCTACAGTAGTTAGGTTCTCTAACAATTGAACTGTACAGTGTGTGTCTATTCAAAAAGTTTTGATAAGAAGGTGAAAGGTTAGTAGATTTAGAGATGACTTCATTTAAGCTGCATCCTAGTACAATGTGAGGCCAGGGCACGTTATGCAATCCAGTCATCCAGAAGCTGTATTTTTCCCCCAACACTGAAATCTTAATTCTCCATTTCGTTTTCTTCTTAAAGCCATATTCTGTATTTAGGGGAACATCTTTATTTGTAAAACTTTTGTGGAGAAGAAAGAGGATCAGAGGGCCAGAATGTCTTTTCATCTAATCAATAGAAATAGAAGCAACAAAACACAAATTATACACATTTTAAGGGCTCTTTGGACTTTCAAGAAAAGTTCTAACCACTGCACATGGCTGACAGATGGGTAGCGTCTGTTGTCAAGGTCTAAGCCGGACACCTTCCCGGCTGACCGTGCATTCCTTCACAAACAGTTAAGGGGCTCACCAGACAAAATATGGCTTTAACTTGTGTACATCTTCAGGCCAGCGCTTACCACGCGAATTCAGACAACCTTTGTGAGTACCGAGAAGCAATGCGTCCACCTTGCTTACATTTTCCAGTTTTTTATTATTATTAGTCATCATTATTATTTCTCACCATGAAAAATCAGCTTTCTTCCCTCCCTTACCCTCCCACAACTCCCCTCCCCCACCCACCCCAACCCATAAAAATCGCACTCTTGACAGTCTAGTGAAAACCATTGCAAAATCCATATGGGGGCATGCACAGTTGCAGCATTGTTGTAAATGATTTCTTGCTCTACTAGAAAAAGTTACATTGTCTTAAGGTAACAAAACAGTTCTTTTGTGCTTTTCGATTTCTTTGTTTTTTTTTTTTTCTTTTTTTCTTTTTCTTTTTTCTTAGAATGTTAGTGATGACTGACAGTTCTGGTGCACAGTTACAATGTACAAGTGAAATGAATATGATTTGCATTGTTAAGGCATCCAATCTGCTGGTTTATATTTACGTGAAAGACAGAGGAAATATACAAGCAGACTTAAGAAAGAAAGTATGTTCATTGATTTCTATGAAGTTTCTCCCTAGAATTTAATGCACAAAATGCGTCACTCCAAAGGGAGAGATTCCATGCATATTAATAGAGTAAAACAGCATTAGGGTTGTTTTGTAAGCTTCCAAAGCAAAGGATACATTTTTTAATCTACAGAACTAAATACTACAAGAATAATATGCTACTATTTTTTTTTGCCATATATTGGAAAAAACTTCTTAACTTACAAATAATACAAAAATAGACAATGACTTTTGGGTGGAAATAAAAAAAAACTGAAGCATGGTTTATAACAATACTGAAAATAACTATAAATGAAATGTTTAAAAATCACATTGAAACAGCTAATACAAGTGTAGGTGACCAAACAAATATGCACTTTTCACATAGCAAACATACACAATAAAATAAATTGGGGGTGGGAGTAAGAGGAAGAAGGGAAAAGCAATGTACAAATTCGAAAGATAAATACATTATTTATATGGATATTTTACAAAATCCCCTTTAAAACAAAAAGCCTTGTAATGAACTTTGCAAGTATGTGCAAGCTAAAGGTAGTGAGCTTTTTTGTTCTTTGCAAAATACGCAGTAAAATCTTTTTGTGATATTGAAAAACTGTCTTAAGACATTAAAATGTATAAATAGAACAACAACTTTGGCAAAAAAAAAATCACAAAAAAAATCTACAGTATTTATAACTACATACAAAAACACAAGAGCAAAGAAAAAATATCAGGCAAATGCATCCTCAGAGCTTTGCTGCATCTTTGCTATTAATTCTTATTTTTAAGAACACTTCCCAGATAACGAGAGCAAAAATTCCCACAGAACAGAAAACTATGTTTTGGAGGTCTCAACCTTCTTTTCCTTTCCCCGTTCCCGTTCCCTTTAACTCTTAATTCCAAAGCACTTAACCTGTTGTTTTAATCTATTATGTTACAAATGGGTAAGGGTCGACTGATAGAGGTGGTATCTTCAACTGGAAAATTGAAATACCAGCCAGGTTGCTTTTGTCAGCTTTTGGAAGATAGGTATGAAGTCAGCATTTACGGCCAGCAAACTTTAAACTTGCAAATAGGGAAGTGTACGTGAGGTTTTGGCTTGTTAATTGGAGGGCAGAGTGTGGAATTCTGTGCCTGGACCCTGTTCCATGAAGTCTCAAAGGAGATTCTCACACAGTATGTGTGCCACCAAGCTCTCGAGAGGCCATCGGCTTCAGAAGAAACTGACTTAAGTAAAAGGAGAGACTGAGATCAGGTTTAAATATGCAGTTTTAACAATCTGTCTAGAGGCACTGGATTTTCGAGTAGAGGGGAAAATGTGATCACTTACATCGCGTTTTAACTTTCCAGGCTGCATTTATTTACACAGTTACTTAAGACAACAATACAAAAGAGATAAATAAGCTTGCACTGCTAAGGGGTGGCATGTTAAGTTAGATATTGAAAATGCACTGTCTGAGCTAACTACCATTTGATATGCTTTAAGGCGCAAAAGCCGACCCTTAGTTTTTCTAAAAAATCTAACTGGCATTCCTATTCTGTCCCATACAAGCTTTTTTTTTCTTTTTTTCTTTTTTAACTTTTTTGTAAATATCACCACTTCATTCTTCCTTTACACAGCTTTAAAAACATCATAAATTAAAACATGGAGTCTTATTTATAGTGTCCCTTGTATAGAGCTTTACGGTTTATAAAAGACAAATGATTGCAGAATTAAGCTTAAAAAAAAAAAAAAGAAAAAGTGGATTTGCTTTTGTCAATACAGAATAAATATATCCCCCAAATACTTGGGAGGTACGGCTTTAACCAACACCCTGCACTTACAGATCCCTTCCAATTTCAGTATTTGCAAGGTCGGTGATTTTGTTTGTTTAAAAATCTGCAGTTATTGTGATTCCTCTTAAAAAGGCCTGAGTTAAAAGTTCCACTCTGGGACTTGTATCAGATTACTCTCTGTAGCAGAATCCAACCTCTTCATTAATACAATTCTTCAAGGCAATTCTTTCACATGGGAGGAACAATCATGCCAGATATCGCTATGGAAAGAGAAGACAGAAGTCAGTGGTTTTTTTGCATCCAAACTTCTCACTGAGAAAAATAATAAAGTTTAAAAAAGAAAACAACACCCACACACAACTATGTTGTTTGAATATTAACCACAAATTTGCTCTCATCTTCTCTGGAATGAGCTTTTGTTATAAAATATACATGTGCTTTATTAAAAGTTATAATAAATCAGCATGTGTGTCTTTAACAGAACAAAATATCCTAAACATCCCTCCAAATCTGATTTCAATTTTAAAGCATAACTGGAAAGTTGCATAGTTTGAATACCACTGGGAAAGTTGCAGCTTCAAACCTTGCAAAAGAGTGAGAAGTTTCCATGTGTCACTCTTTTCTCCCCTCCCCTTCACATCCAAAATATAAAGAAGTGGTCCATCCGAATTGCAAGCAATTTCTACAAAACACATGGCTCTCCCTATGCTCTGTATTAGCACAAAAACTGAGCAACCGAGCAGAAATCTTGAGTGCCTTTGCTTAGGTCCGGAAGCTGGGAGAACGCAAAGCCAGCTCCAGCAGGCCTGGTTCACTGGGAATGTAGAGCTGGGCGGGGAAGACAAGTTTGGGTGAAACTGCAGAATGTCTTCCATACCACTACTCCACTCAAGGTTTCTGGAATGGTCTGATCATATTTCCTAGAAAATTGTAGCCTGGGAAAGCTGGGGTGAGATCCTGGGGAAAAAAAGAAGGCTGTTTGAGGTAACCAAAAATTTTTCAAAGCATTCAGAGCAAGAGGTCACCGATAGCGGTATTTAGAGAACGTGGAATCAGAGAGGCCCGAGTTCCACCTCCAGCTGTGAAGCTCAGCTTCTGTAGCTAGAATCACAGCAGCACTTAGCATTATCGGAGAGGTAAATAAAATGGCATATGTGCTTAGCCTGGGTTCAGCTCCTAGGGAGGACCTGATAGAGGTTAGCTGCTGGGATTTTTAACCCATCATGTCTGCTGCTAAACTAGCTGTGTGACCTTGTGTTAATTGCTTAACTTCGCTGTGCTGTATTTGCTCTTATGTCCAATAGGCACCGTCCTGTGTGGCACACTTTGTGTGACTGGTGGGAAGAATTAAACGGTAACTGTAAGACAGTTAAAACAGGGTGGCAACTTTGAAACATGGCAGGGTGAGAGAGAAGCTGACATTAGAAGCAAGGGGCAGCCATCTTTGCTGATGATGGCTGAGTGTCTTGTCAGGCAGAGTTACTGCTTTCTTTTTACGGCAAATGTAAAAGTAAATTAACGTTCTTGTCAGTGATGACTGCGTCAAGGAAGTGGCCCTCTTCGTTTACTAATGATCGTATCTGGAAGAATGTGCCTTTTTTGTTATTAAAAAAAAAAGGCAAATCCTGTACCACAAATCCTGTAAGTGGACACAGGGTGGCCACCCGGGGCTCTTAGCCCTGAGGCCCCCAGGTTCCTCCGGCTTTCCCACCTCCACCCCTGACATTTTAGATTCAATTAAAATGAAAACCAAAAAGTATTTTGCCAAACACTTTTTCCGTTAATTTTTAAACCCATCTGTATTCACAAGGAAATTCAATCCACATGTTTCTGATTCATTTACACGTAAATCATCCAAATGTTGTTTTGCAAGAGCCGTTTTGCAGCCCAAAAGCTCCTGGAGTCTTTTCTGTAAGCCCTCATAAGCCTTTTTTTCTTAGAAACAGGAAGTTGTCTTTTGCCAAATGCAGACCAACTTAAATCCCCAAAGATTTGGGATCAGTTAGAAATGCAGTCCCCCTAAGATTCAAGTGAGCCCTAGATTTGACTGAAACCGGGAGCTCAGTATTTCAATCCAGGCCTTAACTGGAGAATTTGAGATGCTATCGCTCCAAAGGCAAGGAGGCACAGGGGGTCTTTGCTGTGTGATAGCCCAGCATGGCTCTGCTTCCCCAAGGATCTTTTCATTTGGGCTGGAGGTAGGTCCAGCCACCTTTATTAAAGACAGCAGGAGTTTTAAGCCTGTGGCAAAAGGTGTAAGTCTACTTTTGCTTTCCACCAAAATCTATTCTGTGTGCCTGGCATTAAAGAGCAGTTTCCTATAATATAGTCACACAACTCGGGCAGTATCAATATGAAGCAAAGCAAAGGAAAAAGCTAATTTGGTCAGTTGGTCCAGCCAACATTTATTAGCTGGGCTGTGAAAACATCCCATTTGGATGGCCAGAATAAAAAAAATATATCAGCAGGCCTTTGGTACCCAAATAATGTGTTAGATGCATTAGATTAAACCTCCGCTTAGGGCCACATTCAAAGTTCTAAGGGAAAGTTAATTGACGTGCCAGTTCAGAGCTAACAGCACTTTTTAATTTGGACTATCAGGGCTGCAAACTCCAGCACCCCAAGTGCCCAGGCTGCGAACAGGAGTGAGCAAATCCCCTTGGTGGGGAAGTGAGGATGGAGGGGAGGCTGACAAGGGCCTGCCTGGGCAGCGACTCGGCTGCCACCAAATGCCACTGGGCAGGAATGCCTTGCTCACAGCCACTGGATCCTCTCAACTGTTTAAAGAGGAGAAGCTGGAGATGGGGCTTTAAAAAAAAATGAAATAGCCCAGTTTATACATGCTAGCCAAACACTGAAATTAAAACTAAATATATCTACATGGGGGTCAAGAGGGTGGGTTTGGCCCATTCCTCCTTTCCTACGTCACCTTCGTCAGCCCACAGGCTTCTCTGAGAGTCTAATCAGAGCTATGGAACCTCTCTTCAAAAGAGGTTGTAATGTCTTGGCACATGGTGCTGAGTGTCCTCATAGGAATCTTCATGCACCCCACTTGGGCAAGTTAGCATGCCAGTGGCATTTCTGGAACATTCTAAGGCCCGTGTGTCCTACACCCAGAATTTTGCATGTAACATCAAAAGGTTACAGTTCTCTGAATCCCAGTCATGACTTCCTAAACTCCAAGGGCAGAATGCTTGCTGTTGAATAAATGATGGGAAAAGATCCCTACCTGTGGCCTCTGAGCCTGGAGATCTCCAAAGAGGCCCTTCTAATAGAGAAACTCCACTGCACAACGGCCTGAAAATCTTGAGTTTTAGGAGTTGTTTTTATATGTGTGCTGCAATCTGAAGATTAATTATGTGGGTGAGAGGGATGGGTGTCTGGAGCTTGGAATGTTCCAGAAATGCCGTTGGCATGCTGACTTGCCCAAGTGAAGTGCATAAAGATTCCCATGAGGACACCACACTCTCAGTACCATGTGCCAAGACATCACAAGACCATGGTGGCTCTGCCATTTTCCCCAGCAGCTAGACGATCATGTTCTCTGATGGAAGCTCAGAAAACTATTGATTTGAGAGGCAATGCATTTTTCATTACAGTTTCCACCTTTCTGATAAAAACAGAGACAAAATAGTTCTGCAGAGCTGGGAAAGTTTGGAATGAAAGGGTGGAATGTGGTCTTCCCCAAACTGCCACATGTGTAAGAATTATGAGCTAATCAGGAACGGGGGTAAGTGGGTGGGGAGATCTTGCACAGACTGAATATGTGCATGAAGAACATGACAATTCCATAGACTTTGGTCCTGGACTGCATGATATCTAGGGTTGAGAAGAGCCAGCCTGAGCTTTAGCAAGGTGAGAAAGAAAAAAATCAGTATATGGATACTGTTTTTGTGAAATTACTCTGGTCTTTTGTTTTTAATTTTTTATGCATAGAGTCTTCAGGACCTGACTAGGGTTTAGAATCACTACATCAGTGGGGATTCCAATAGCATATGACAGCCTTCTTGGGGATGCCTGTCTCTTGAATAATGAAGTCCTCTGAGGCCCAAGTTGCATGAAACCCAAGCTCTAAGCAGCATAAGCTTCAGGAGAAAGGAGAGGACATCTCCGTGGACAAAGACTGAGCAGAGTCGGTGACTCAAGTCTTTGGATCTTGAAAACAGACACACTTAAATAGTCTGGGACCAGGATTTAATGACTTCACCTAGACAAGAGTAGAAAGAGGTGTCTCTACATTTTTATCTTTCAATCCAAAATATAGTTGCATTTTCCAAAGTTTTTCGTATGATATTAAGTATTCTTCGTATGAAGAAAAGGATTCTGTAGGCAAATAAGTTTGGCAAACTAAATGAAATAATTTGTATTTAACTGCAGGATGCCCCAGAGACTTTAACTGTGGATCTCCAAGATGGTAATCTAGTGAGCATCACTTTCTAAATTTTTCTGACTACCATATTTTTATTTTTTTAATAGGACATTTGGGGGCAGCCTGTTCCTTGAGCCTGTTCTGACTCCTTCATCTTTCCTTCCTCTGTACTTCCACAGCTGGGTGCCCAGCCTCTCCCAGACAGATCTTCCTTATTTACTTTGGTGTCATGTCTCCCCTCAGGGAAAGATTTTTAGGTAAGGATTTTGTAGTCCTGCTGGGCCTAACTTAGTAGCTTGAATACAGAAATGTAATATAGCATAGGGGCTTCACATAGTCCAGTCAATCTGTCTGGGCTTAAAGCTCAGGCTATTTGTATAAAGGGGACAAGGCAACTTAGCTTCAGTCTCAGTTTCCACATCTGTATAATGGGGACAACTGACAGGCTACCTTAAGGGTGGCTGGGAGCCAGGCTGGGAACAAGCCCTCCTGGTCAGTGGCCATTTTCACCATTATCGCCACCATGTGACACTGCAGCGCTCCGTTCTTGGGGAATAAACATGCGTGTGGTAACCAGAGGAGACTAAGGAAGTGCTGCTGGGGAAGAGGTCTTTTAGGAGTTGGCTTTAAAAAACAGAACCATGTGGGAGTTGGAGGTAAATAGGCCTTTAAAACACTTAAGTGGCCTAAATGTGTCACCTCTGATCTTGTTTATGTGGTCAGTTTGCTTAACCAACTCTTCCTGGTCACGTGCCCTGTCTTAATGATTGCAGCTCTGAACTAGGTGGGTCCCAACGAAGGAGGTGCTACTGTAACATTAGAAAGGAAAAAGGTGGAAGAAGACACTTCAGAGACTCTTACACCA